TGGATATAGTCAGTATACGAGTAGTTACAGTAGGTACATGTGCATATTTTTACTATAAGTATACGCTCACAACGCCTTAGATGCAAGTGGTGATAACCGTAGTCGACTGAAAAAACCGATTCGATTAATATTTGCGGCTTTGCAGGCCGTCTGCAAAGGTACACACTTACCCGTGGTTAGAAAAAAAGCTCAGTATCATTTCGATCATAAAATATGTATTTACAGTCACGCCGCCGACGCCGCCAGTAGTTATAAGTATGCCGAACTTTCACAATCTACACATATTTCTAATTTTTATTCATACTGCAGAAACTTCATATTGTTTTCTCTTTACCTAAACAACTATAAACAAATATTTGAAGTAAGAGTAATGTTTATTGAGTACCTCGAAAATATAATTTTAATTGTATTCGAAAAAATACATACTGTTCGTTCTGTTTGTCCAAGTGCAGTGCACTATAGGTATTCAAAAATATTAATAATAATAATAATAGTATAATATGACGGTGTATTATGCAGAAAATCTGATATCAAATTCCATATCTGATCTTGGCTATAGATGATAGTCAAAACGAGTAGGCATGCCGAAATGAATGGTGATACAATTTGGTGATATCCCAGCACTAGCCTACAGATCAAATTTCTTCTTATGAATAACATTTAACTTTAAAATATTTTATAAGGAAAATCAAATGTCTAAAATACCTCCAAAGATATTATATAACAGTTTTTTTATGTTAAGACTTTGGATTATCATTTTAGGAACAATAATTTAAAAAATAAAACATCAAGATGAAAAAAATTATGTAACTTAATAAAATAAACTCAGTGTATAAAATATTATTCATTGAACACGTCTAAATATTTTATATATTATTAACATAACATGGAATCGTGGATGAATATTAGATGTGACCCAATGGCAAGTGTCCAAAGACAATCTAATAAAATATATGTCTATATATTTCGAATTTAATAAAGCTTCTTAATATATTAAATTATTAATCTACTGTGACAAATAATACAAGTTTTTACAATGTCCGGTTAAAGTTAACCGACACTTAACCGGCCGAATTCTGCCGGTAATAAAATCTGTTATCAGTCGGTTAGCGTTAACCGACACTTTACCGGACATTGTAAGAACGGCCCTTAATATTAATTCTAAAATCGTCCCGAAAATGTATATACATATTTATAATAATAATAAAACTTGAAGTACTTTAAAGTTTACTCTCTTAATATAATCTGAGGTATTTCATACATTTTTACGAGCGAAACCGTAAAATTACACATACATGATGGATGTTAAATACATATAACTCAGAGTTCGGTTTACGGTCGTACGTAAAAGGCTATACAAAAGCCGGAGGCGGATAATATATAATGTAATATACCTACATAATTACGCGAATTTCACAATTATTCTGAAGAATCTTTGTCGACAGGTTATTTGATGTGTGGGCCCAGATGGTTATTTATCTTTTTTTTGACACCGTTAACACTTTCTATTGCTTTTCATATAATTCACACTTCAGGTTTTGTATACTTTTTAAATCTTCAGATGCCTAATAAAATCTATTTTTAAATATTGTTTACACGAGTGATCGTTAATTAAGCTTAAGTTCCTATAAATGTTCGTAATTCGAATAATACTAGTTTATTTGTATGTTGCATAATGCGCAGTGTATTTTTTTTTACAATAATACTACCGTCTTAAACAAATCGGTAATATACTTGAAATATTAGTAACATATAATGTCAGTTTTCTGTACCACTATACCTGTATGTATGCAATTACCGTATAGGAATATTGTGTCATCATTAGGAGACGACTTAAACAAATTATTGTTTTAAAATGTTCGGCACAACATCAAACATAACACGATAGTATACCTAGTGCGTTATAGTAACTTATAATTATTACGAGTTCTACACAGTCGATCTGTCATATCGACCCGATTCTGGTGATAATATTACGGTCTACCGATTGCCTATTATGAATCTGTACTGGTTTATGGTGTATAATTATTATTCAGATGTCGTAACATGGTGGGCGATGAACAATTACGGCTAATTACGCGTGTTTGTACACGGCGACGAAATTACGACACACATAAGCCATTTATAGAGTGGTTTGTGAGCATATTGCTCGAAAAATAAAAATTAAAAAATTAAACAAGAGCAATTCAAGAACCTTCGGACTGTGTGTGTGTGACGATTTCGTGAGCACCGTGTTCACGGGTCATTTATTATTTAAAATAATAAAAGTGAAAAAAAATAAAACGAGAGCACAGCCGTTACGCGTTGTATAACGTCACTCTGAAGACATCTATTTCGTTGATGACACGACGAAAGCGGATGGATCACGACGTAAGAAGTACAAGAAGAAGATATAGCCGTGTCGCAATCTCGTCGACTTAATATAGTTTATAATAGGTGGTCGATATAATGAGCAACGACGAAAGTGATTTCGTGATAAACGAACAGTATTATTGTGTTTGAGAATCGTTTAGCATAGTAAATATTATGTACCTATATATTGTAGGCCTGTTGCAGTTGATAAAATTCGATCGGTACGGAACTTCAGTGGATGTTATCGTTTTCAATTTGTTTACATTCGCCATAGTTCTTTGTATTACATTACCTATTTACCTGTATGCTCGCTGGATACGGGAATAATATTATAATGATATGCGTGCTAGAATAATATATCTATAATATATCGATGTATTTGAAAACCTTATATTTTATTATACGTACCTATACATAATATTATAAACTTTATACACTTAAATTTGTTGTAAACTCTGTGCGGTGTGCTCATTATATGTATGTTTATATGTGTATATGTAATAGGCGGTATGCGTTTAGTTGTATACAAATTGTACTAGGCGAACGATCGGTTTATGATGCAGCTAAAATGTTATCGGTCGATAAATTACAATTTTCCACCGACAGTTTTTTTCATTTATAAATATATATATACCTATATCTATGATGTCTTTGAAACGAAGAATGTTCTCAATCTGGTTCGACTGATTTCGATCGTTCTTAATATTCTAAAGAGACTTATGCTGTAGACCGGACGATTCCAATGCCATGCTTAACGTTTATCGCCAAATAAACAGTAACCGATTAAAATCTGATCACGAGCGTTATCTTTAAAAGTAGCATACGACCTCCATCGGTGTGCCAAAATTAATCGTCGGGAAGCGTTATTGACAAATGATGAGTTTTGAAGAATTGGTATAGGTAGGTACGTGATTCTTTTTGGATCGTTCTTTTGATGGTAATTTTTGACCTCCACTATGTGGCACCGTTGGTACGTCAGCTGACTACGATCCGACTTCTGCAAGCCCAAATGGAGAAATCGTTTTAATACATATAATATCATAAATATAATTATCGCGATAAGCGCTTTTTAGTCGGCAAATGTTATTTACTGCAAAATTTTATGGTTGTATATTTTTGCACTCGTCGTACTTTTAGACACACACTAGGACTAGACCACGAACACCACAAAAAAACTTCTTATCGTGGCCCCCAGAGCATATTGTTCGTTAATGGAAACCTGCGGCTGATGCATTTTTGTCTGCACACTGCAGTAGGTATATACACCGTAAACGCCTAAGACTTTCTCCAGTTTTTCGCACGCAAATAGTTGACTCCCCGTCGCATTCCGAGTGTGTTTGAAAACAAAGTATTTAGACCTATATTATAGCAGTGTCTTTTACCCGTCTCCAAGTCGTTTTTGGATTATTGGGTAAAACAAAAAAGTTTCCATTGAAAACAAAATGTGAACAAAAGCATATACTATTATAATATTAAATGTATAGAAAGTAAGTTTTGCAATTCAAGAATTTTTATTCTAGAGTCTTCGTCTTTTCCCTCCAATATTGTTCCGGATGACGTCAGGTTTTCATAAAATAGGTAGCTATAACTCGCACGTATAAAATACTGATCGGAGACTTCAACGAACGTATCTAATGTTAAATGATTAAATATATACGTAAATATAATCGTGGACATCGTCAGTCAGGTTTAACGTGTGTAATATAATACGTTTCTCGATAAACAACCGATGGCTTACTTTTGGTCACACCTACAAATAAACGGGCAGAGAAAGAGAACGAGAGACAGTACGACAGACAAGAGAATGATGGTATAGGTAGTTTTATGCATTTTTTTTTTTTGTAACGGCGTTGCATAACGTTCCAGTTTAAACAGTAATTAAACTGTCGTCTGGTCGACGAGTATTTCGAAACACGTTTTTTTATCCATTAAACAAACAGAAAAGATTCATCCGACTAATACAAATAAAAATGTCAACCGGAAAGGAAGATGTACAAATACTGAAATGGATTACTACCGTGGTGTTTACTCGTGTTTGTGACCTATCATCGAAATGTTGTTATGACCGTGTACGGAGGCTTAATGGGTTTACGTCCGAGTCAATACCGTTGCTTTGATCCAGGTCCGACTAACTGTCTACAGGATAATATGATCTATTTTCAAACGTGATTATTTCCGATAACCTACTCGTCCGATAATCTGCAGTGCAAATCTTTCATATGTGTTTAATATGACAACATACAAATATTTCAAAATATTTTAAATAGTTATTATATTCACAGCGTGAATAATTATGATATAATATCATAAATATAGCAGTACATAATAGGTATATTATTTTTATACATTTTACATTAGGGGATACACTATAACATTGAAGGTTTACAATAGTGTATTAAGAGGATACAAAAACATAATATTTCTAACAATTTACAATAAAATATTTACGTACATTATACATTTGGTAATACATTGTAGTAATTAACGAGGGGTACAAAATCATAATATGAATAATTTTTTACAAGGGGCAGGCTGCAGGGTCTATTTTGCACCCCCTCGTTAATTACTACAATGTATACCAAATGTATAATGCGGCCAGACACGACAGCTGTTCACGTCTTGCTGCTGACTTGCGAAGCGTCGGACGCTTAGGCGCCGCAACAAAACATACGGCCGACAAACCGCATTGTCCTGCACCAGAACGTGAAGCGGCGGCGTCCCTTATTTGCTTGCGGCTTGCTGTCCTCTGTCCCAGTTTCCGGTTCTGACGGCCAAGAATCGTTCCTGGCCGAACTTCTGACCCGGTCGTCGTCCTGCAGGATATCCTCTGGCTCTGTCGACGGTGTCTTCTGCGAGACCGCGATCGGGTCGACCGCGACCACGTTTTCTGCCGATAGCGCCAGCGGATGGTTGATTGCGGCGTCAACTATGGCCATCGCTGACCGGAATGCCGGACCAGCATAGTTTGGTAACCTGATCTTTCCTTACACCAGTGTCGGTACAGCTGGATTTTCGAACCAGTTCACTCCCAATATTTTTGCGTCGGACATGTAGCTCCGTTGCATCGGCCGATCTGCCACCGATCTGTCCTCATCTGTGTCCTGGACGTGATTGTGCCGCGGTTGTATCTCAAAATCCCGCTTCGGCAGGGCACGTCCCATTCTCGTGGAAAGTAGAACTTCGCTGCTCTAACTTTCAGCATCTCTTCACTCTTATTGGAAAGCGACTGGTTTTGGTAATCGTTCATCATGACAAACGAAACGATTCGATGTATTTACAATACAATATGAAACGGTATCAAATAAATGACGGCAGTTTTATAAATGATCGAAAATCAATAATAATCACAGGTTATGTATTTTAATCAAATCTATAAAGCAACGGGATGTCTGTTGATTTGTAATAGGCCAGTATAAATATTACTCTTGTAATATGCACTCGTTTCAAATAGAAAAATAGCAGTTAAGTGTATGTCGCTCTGCTGTACAGTAGGTTGCAAGTGGGTCATTGTATAATAGATTGTATTCAACTTGAATTCGATGATATAATATCATTGTATAAGAAAAACGATACTGAGCGGAGACGGTTTGTCAGTCGGGATATTTTATATTTTTATTATTTATTATATCATGTATGTTGAATTAATATTATAATATTATTATTTTTATTCGTTTCTATGGTGATAAGTGATAACTGATAAACAAAGCGTTAGAAATAAAATCCCATTTTTAGCGGTTTTTCGTAATTTTTCGGGGGTTTTTCCCGTGGCATTAAATAACTATTGATATAATCGAAAAAAGACCTCTTTAAAGTACCATTTTGATCCAATTTTCTAAAATATAAGGTATTATATGTGGAAATCGAAGCACTCCTTCTGGTAGAAATTTTGTATACAGGATATAAAAAAAAAAAAATAAATAATTAACACCATTGTAAAAACACTAGCTTCCTCGCTATGCTCAGAATCTAAAAATCAATATAACGAACTATAGGGTCGTTTGAATTTGAATGCAACAAAATGTTGATTACATACAGTGTGTTATACCAAAAACTGGTATAGTGGTACACATATAACTATAGAGGCATTAGGCAATAGACCAATATTAGATTATATACCTATAGTAAATATACATACATTCGATTGTTATTTTGTTGATTGTAAGACTTCAATAGTTATTTTTTATGTTTTTGCTTTAAATATTTTTATTTTACCTAATCGATACAACAGTGAATAAAATATATAATGAAATATCAAATAGGTAATTCAAAAATTAATTACCAAATAAGAAGTAAATTTAAAATATACATATATAATATAATATACATCGATCAATTAGCAAACGTTTTATTTAAAAATCAATACTATAATATTTTATGTATTAAAATTAATATTGAATTCAAAATTAATTTATATCAATCATAAAAAATATATTTATCGTTTACTTAACCACGCGTGTTTACAAGGAAGCAAGGAAGCAATTTAATACACTTAATTCGTTAACATATTAGGAGAAATTAGATTTTTCTTTATATTTTAGATCATGATATAGGTACTTCATGCTTATTGCTCATACATTTTTAAACTCTTGTACTCATAAATTATAGGTACAACTCATCACTTAACCATAACAATTTAAAATACAACATTTGGAATTTGAAAAATGTTTAAATTGGTAGAAACCACTGTCAGTATACATTTTTTACAAATTACTCTAAGCTGTTCTGGGTCACTGGAAAACAGTGCCAGTTTCCAGTTTCTTTACCCTTCAACGATACAAGGAGAACCCCTCCTGACCAAACCAACGGTTATCAGTGGGTCGTTGTACGTTTCACGGTTCTATTCACTGGTGGGGCACTTTCTTACCGATCAATCACCACCCGAAGGTTATTTACATATATTCTCCGCCCAATGACACATTCTCTTTTATTATTACCGACTACAGAAGAACACCTAAACCGCTTAAAATTAATTATAGCAAAAATTAATCTTCATCAAATCAACATTAGGTGCTACAGGTGTCGAGCATAAGAGTCAACTGATGGCCACTGCAGCGTTCATATAATAACCAAACCACATTATTGCTTCTATGATTAGTTTTAAATATTTAAAACTTTAATGAGTGATCTTAACTCTTAAGTAAAATACATATGTCGTTTTTTTGTATGAAAAACTATAGTTACTAGAAATAAATTTCAAACCATATGCTACATCTACAACGGTACAGTGGTTAAATAATAGTCATAATCATTAGTAATTTCGGTCAAACCCGAACGTTGTTCGGTGATGGATAAAAATACTATGAAAAAATGATTATTTTAGACTTATAGTTTATACGATATTATTATAATTATATTTGCATTAGGGGTAATATTGTCTAAAAATTCAAAATAAAATAGGGATAAATCCGGGAGTTGATTCAGATACATTATAACTGGTATATTAATCTGATGACGGTATTTTGTTGTTTCAGGTGACGATGAGCGTGACGACAACGATAACGACTGCTGACTGCGAGCTACTAGGCCGGGGGCCCGTCCAAGGATCTGCTGACTCGGACAGCCTGGCCACGCTGGTCAGACAGCTATGCAAGAAGCAGCAACAACGTGGCCGGTTACCGGGACGCCGGTGTACGGTGGCATGCAGCCGAGATGCCGGGCTGGAGATCATCCCGTACCAGAGAAAGCGGCCAGACGACGAGGGTTTTGAGTCAGATGAGGACTTAGCGTCGCTAGGCTCGTACGATGATCCCGCAAAGAGGAAGACAGGAACTTTGGCAGCTGTGTCGGCGGCGGCGGGTGCAGCGTCGGACAGCGCCAACAGCAGTGGCGTTTCAGAAGACAGCGATGACGCTGACGCCGCTTCACTGAGAGGTGGACAGACTCCAGTCACGGTCGCCACGGAGACGGCCGACGGATCTGGTCGGGAGGCATATGGGCTGTCCGACGTGGCGTTCTGTCACACAGATGCTGCTGCACTACCCGGTATCGCAGTATGGGTGATCAAGACCATGGAGGACGCCATCCGCAGGCCTAGAAGCCATCGTGGTCCGAAGCCGGGACAACCGGCTGCAGGACGTGTGTCGGGCGTACCAAGAGCACAGCAGGCGCATGAAGTTGGAACCAAAGCCTTGGGTCGGCCATACGAATGGTGGTGGTGGACCGTTGTCATCGCAGAGGCGCAAAGTCGGCGTCAATGGTGGCAACATAAGTGGCAACATAGCACTAACGGCAATGCCCGAAGTGAACCGATTCAACCTGGTGCAGCGGACCGACACCGACGGGGTGACGCACATAGAAGTGACAGCGGGACCTGTGGTGGCGGCGGCTAACTCTACCTCCAGGGACTCGTCTCAGTCAAGCATCATAAGCATAAGCACTCCCGAATCTCCAAGGCCGACGACCAAAGACCGATCCTACGGAGACGATAATCAAGACCGAGACGATGGTGACGGTGGCATTGAACCACCTCCGCAGAGACCGGAAAGGAGGAAATATAAGGTGAAACCGGACGATGGTGACGGAAGTAACGAAGACTACAGGCGGCAACAGAAGGTGGTCAGGGGCCAGTTCATAAGGGTCAATGTCAACCATTGCGCCGTGTTGCCGCCGGCCAGCCCGGAACCGGAAAAGAAGTCCGGCCAAGACTCACCGGCCAAGTCACCCGCCGGTCAATCTCCAACAACCGTCATCTCGGACCGGCTGTGGTCGACGGCCGATTACGACAGGCTGGACGGTCGGTATGAACAACACAGGCAGTCATCGCGGTCCAGCAGTCGGAATCGAAGCAGGAGCACAGGCCCGGGTCGCCGGCAACAACAACCGTTGCAGCTGGCCGCTGTCCAACCGTCACATCCTCCGCCAGTTGCCTTCAGCCGGTACCCGAACAACGAACAGCAGCAGCCGTCATCTTTCGGAAACCGGTTTTTCGGAAAACTGCGTGAGATAACTTCCGGAAATCAGTCACCGCCACTACAGGACCTGCAACCCGTAGCTTTTCGGCGCCGCAACAGCGTCGGTGAATCTGTCACCGCCAACTTTTATCAATATTTTAGCCATCAACACCACCATCAACATCACCAACTCGGCCAATATCAGCAACAACAACAACAACAGCAGCAACAGCTCTATCAGCAGCAGCTCCAACAGCAGCATAGGCAACAGGCCAAAAATGGCGGACATCTCAAGTCAGTAATCAAGAAAAACAACAAGAGCCAACTCTATCAACATACCTACGACGAACCCAAAAAGGTCACGTTCAGCGCCTACGCCACTGTTCAAGTTGTCGATTAACTAGGCGCTCCCTACATTCATTGTACCATATACAAAGTTTATTTGTGTTATCGAACGTCAGTCGTCGTCGTGTTACCAATAGATTTAACCGGTCACGCTGACCGCCTGTCGGGCAATAGGGCGTAATATTATTACCAAAAAATTGCTCAAATTCACCTGTATGTTGTTTTTCTGCATCTGCAGCTAATAAATCACATGTAACAACACTAGCTGTAGGGTAATTCGATTTAAAAATGGTGAATGATGAATTCATATTTAACGTTCTAATGATTTGAAACTATATGTCTAATTGATAGTTTATTTCACCTTTTTTTTTTTAATAATGAAAATAGTCATAGCACCGCAACATACTTTTTTTGTTCTAAATATCGTTTTTCTCCACTCAAAACTCAATCATTAAATCAAAATCTAATAAATCGTTATGGTTGCACGTCACATTGGTCGTTGTATTAAGAGGTCAAGTTCGTGTCTTCGTCGTCGAAGGCATTTGTAAACTGGGCCCCCGACATGACACTGTATTCGTCGTTAATTTACTCTACTTCCTTTTACGTGGGAATTCTTTGATTGTTTCATCGTTTTATCTTCGACCGGAAGATAGTAAACGGACGGAAACGACATTAAAATACGACGTATGTTTATTTTAATAATAAGAAATAATCGTACGAAGTCAGAGTGACCGTAAACCTATATATATTTTAGTATAATATTGAATATTACGTCATTGTTGTTCTAGTTTTGAGAATGTGATCGATCAATTATTATTCTGTTTTATATTTTTTATCGACACGCCATTCACGAATATTACGCCCTCTTACCCGTTACGCGTTCGCGTTATACTCTAGTAAAGCTATTCACTATTCAGATTGTTGCTCATTAAACGAAATATTAATATATTTTATTTATGAATGTATTTTTTTTTATATCTTACCTATATAATACGTCGTTGCTGGCGCATATAATATTATTGAATTGTATATTAAGTTAACTTATATAGGCAACATTTTAATGGTAGACAATAAGTATAACTTAATTTCCTTATTATATCTATCAATTACGTTTTTTTTTCTGTATAACATAATATAGAAGACGACACCTCTGCAGGTATTAAGTATTTGCATGTGTTTTTTGGGACCGATTTGTTTGTATTTTTATTTATAAAATTTAATGTGCATGCCGTGTAAATACAAAATAATATATACATAAACATTATACCAGTCATTAAAAGATGTCATTTTTATTACGTTTTCGGTGAGGTTACAACCGACTACCCAACACTAAGTATTTTCCCCTTCTCTTCCAATTTGTTTCCTTATATAAGAAGTCATGTGAACCACGTACGGTGATAAACAATGTCGATCTGTCAACAACCGGATTATTACATCAACTGGATTGTATCTATGTGCTATACACTGGTTCACATACGATATATCTGCCTATTCTTAAAGCAAGATTGTAAAAAATAAATGCAGATTGCAGATTTCGTAACGAGATATTCTGAAAATGTACTATAGGTAACGCCTATTTCGTTTGCTTGATAAATTCATCCAGGAAGTCGTCGAAAGTAAAAAAAAACGACAAATTTCGAGACTTTCTGTTTCTGTAAAAAGTCACACTGTGATACATTTGGTTTTCAAGTCTAAGGTAAGTACCTACAACAATGTAATTATTGTTGAACAATTTAAAATTATCCTAATCAAGTAAATCAAACTAACATCACTCAGTATCACAAAACAGGTACAGTGCATGAGTATAAACAATAAATTATGATTAATAAAGAACTTGACAATTCAACAGATATTAAAAAAAAAAATAACAAAAACAAAACAATAATGAACAAAAATAATAATGAAATATTACAATTTTAATTTTACAACATACACGTTTATCCGGTTTGGTTTTTATAGTCTTTGTAATTTAATGGTTTATGACAAAATGCAGTCTAGTTTCAAAAGTAAGTAGTTCAATTCGTATGATATAATCAATGGTTTCATCATTATTTACTCGGCAAAAATAAAAATGTATTACTTTTTTTTCATTAAATATTCAATCATCGTAGGTATACCTATACCTAGGTTATGTTTTTAAACCGCGTAATTTTATAAGTTTCAGATTTATAACATTTTACATTGATTAAAAGTTTAAATTTATACAAAGTTGAAAGATATAGGGATATAGGGACCTATATACAAAAAATATAAATAGAGAACAATCTTTTGAACAAAACTATTTACATTACAAAACATTACATCATAAATTAGACATGTTCATTCCGTCAGTCATAGTAATATAATATTATTATATACCTACACAGTACACGGCTACACTTAAAATATATACACATAATATACAAATTATATAATTTAATAATATGTTCATCATTAATCATTCAAAATGTGTTCATTGCGGCGCTACTTCCTTTTAAGTTCTTTCCGGCGGTGTAGTTCAAAATTCGTTCGGCGAGCATAATAATAATATGATAGGTAGTGACGTATAGCATAATATATAGTAAAGTGACGCTTGTCGCACACAAGAATTATTTTCGAATGTGGCGGACGGAAAATATTTTAATTAAAATCAAATACCATAATAATACTTGTTGTAAATATAATATACGAGCACAACACTATATACGAAAATATCTAATGAGAAACTACAACTCTGCTTTCGTCCAGCGTATACGCTTATTAGTTATTACTTATTAGATACAATATCGTGGTTTGTCGGGTGCGGATTAGTGTTGTATATAAAATAATCTATTATATATTATTCGGACGCCTATTCGTCATGGTCGTATCCACCGGGCCTCCGAATATTAGTGAGCTGCGAGTGCAGACCACGCACATAAAACAATGAAAGTCGTAATTTCACCGGGAGAAAGGTGTACGGAAATCCGCGAAGAGTTTGGTAACAATCTGGGCATCTTCAAAACGCTAATAAATAATGGTAAAAAAATTAACACGATAGTAGCAAAATATAATAGTGGGAGGGAAACTTATTACGGATGGCGAACGATAGTGTTCCCGCAACTATAATATTCACTTTTTACAGGGTTCCTATACCTATATATTATATTATTTTTATCATATTATATTCATAAGCCATATTATATCTATAACCTATATGAATGAATTGTTTATCGATTTTACGATCAACGATAACTACCAATCAGAATGTGTATCTATGTCTGCAGCTATATAGACGTAAAAAAAAAGTATTTTATACAGTTTTTAAACAACAATGTGACCAACGCGTATATGAGCTACTGCAGTGAACACGTTAAAAAAAAATCTTCCGAGACCTCCGGTTCAAATAATAATAAAATCTCAAGGTAAGTAACAAGTCCGTACATAGGGTGAAAAAAATAAATAATTCATAAATTGTTTTTTTTTTTTTAAATTTATCTATCGATTCAATTATACTCGGTGAATTATTTTCTTCAGTAGTATTTCTGTCGTAGTATTATTTCCTGGTTTTCAGGTAGTAAGCTGCTGATCCTCATGTATTGAAAATACGTGGTGGAGCATTATCGTCCATCGCCAGCATCTATACTAAACGAGTGCCTATAACGGCTGCAACCCTCGTTTTGACAGATAATTTCGATAATCAGAATTAATTTACGGCGTTTCGTTCGGTTGTAATTCACTTTGCAGATGTGGTCAAATGCATAATGTACAGTCTAAAGTAGTAAAGTACATATTATATTTTTATATAGTATATACCTATGAATTGTGATGATGTATAGATTATGATGTTATACATATAGTGAGAATAAATTAGAATGTAGATCGTTTGAAGGATGATAATATTTAGAGAGAGTATATAATATAAATACCTGCGTAAGAGGATTCGTTCGCGAGTTTTTTTTCGATTCTTGAAAGTGTAAAATGCTTTTTATTCTTTTACCCACACACGAACTACTCGTGTAGTCCAGATCGAACGTTTATGTGTATACAACTCGAGCCGTCAATCAAACGTATGAAATACGCGCAGTATGCGAGTGTTTAATATTCAACAATAATATTTTCAGAATAAAATCGACCGACTGGAATAATCCTTTGGAATGATTCAATTTCGTAGATGTTTTTCGTACACGAATTTGTTCTAGACCTACTGTGTTATTAACTATAACGACGATTTTATTGTACCTAACGCGTACATAATTTATAATTTTATAGGTACGCGCGTCATGACGTGTGCACGCATGATCGTATTCGCGGTAAATATAAAAGAAAAGTAAAATTGTGATAGTGAATGCGTTATCATAATGCTATATATTATTATATTCCAATATTGTATAGATTATGTACGTATATTTAAGCAATGCGTATTTCTCGAATGGGACTTTTCTGTTGGGTCATAATAATATATATTCGCATATGGCGTGTGATGACCACGACCATCGATGTACAATTCGATTGGTTATATAGATCATCTTTTTATGCTTATATTAGTATAGTGATTAGTGACACGTCTAATATTTTATAAAAAATAATGTTTATCCTATATTTACCTATTTTATCAAAATAAAAACGTTACACCTAGATATTTTTAATAACGTTTTCTGTAGCTTCTGTGAATAATTTCTACAGTACCTAGTCAAAATAGACATTGTTAAAAAAAATTATTTTATCGTATGATTACTAATAAGATATTTAGATTTATGTACTTACAACCTTTGAAAAATGTAAAATATAATTTGCATTTAATCCAAATAATATAAGAATTTATCTATCACCACTATCTGTTCTTTGACTCAGATAGACATTTTCTTGAAGACGTCGTTCTTCCCCAATAAAATCTACTATTTTTGTGTACGTTGTATTATAGTGACCAACAGGATTTCGGGTTGTTAAAATGCCAAAATGCCACCTAATACATACGTTGAGGGACGTCACACAACTTTATTTTTAGCTAAATAAAACAAATATTTAACTTACATGACATTATATGATAAATATTTATTATTTACATTTCCAAAGAAGAATATCCATAAATATATT